TTGTTGAAGTATTCTCTCTGGACACAGTGGACAGGTTTCACTGTACATGGATCTTGATATTTAAACACGTGGGTACGCTCTGTAGTTTTATTAATAGCGTTTAATTCAATCGTGGTCTGTGTTCCTTTCGGCCGGGCACATTAACAGTTTTTGGATAAATTTATTATAAATTGAACTATAAAAGTAAGTGGTAATAATTTTTGTGTCATCCTCAATGTCATTTTCGTTTGTTACTAAGCAACGAAACTAAACAAACTTCTGCATATCGGGGGATAATGCAACTCTAAAAATGAAGGTGAGTGTGTTATACAGAATTTAAAACAGTACTTTTTAAAAAGTAGATCAAAAGTGAATATCCATAGAAATTCATGGAATCCCAGAAGATCGATGATATTGTTATTGTTATATTGACAATTCATTAACTGGTTATAAGGTGAAGAGCTCCGAAAAGGTAGGATACACACACTATGTACCATTTGCCAATATTGGGATAACGCTACACATACACATTATTTTCACCGTTTTTCGGTCTGAATTTTACGCCCGTGATTGTGTTATCAAAAGCACTTAATTATTCTGTTACTTTTTGCATTGGTATGACAGATCAAAATGTGATAAAAACCAAATGATGAAAAATTTAACGGGTGTTTTAACCACCTGTTTATGTGACCTTCACAAAACATCTAACGACGATTTTGTGATCGTAATATGTATCATTAAAAGAGCTATTCGTCTTTTAACTAGACTCTGCGCGCAAGGTAAATACTAGTAAGTAAAGTACAATTTCATCAAAAACTCTTCATTTGATTCTATATCAGATAGCTTGTTCGTATTTGAAATTGAAATTCATGTAAAACTAATTTAGGTGTTAGTCTGAGTCTCAGATATAAAATGATAAAAATCTGGTTTAATATATACCTTGAGAATCAAGATGATTGTGTTGCTAAACTTTTGAGAAGAGTGTCGTAATCTCACGGCTCCATTGCCATGAAGAATTGACCCTTGACCGAGAGACAAACATATTTCAACGAGCGGTAAGTTGACAATATCTCATGATTGATCTTTCTTTGGAATATCTTCCAGTCAGCTAAAACTAAAATTAAGATCACAGATGAGACATTGAGAATGATAAAAGAGTTGTACGATCACATACAGGGACAGGGGTTCAAATATTTACATTGTACGATTACGAGACATTATCCTCTATTCTAAGAAGGAAACGAGACTCCTTTATTACAGGGCGTTTGAACACAATTTCGTACGGTAATACAAGTTTGAAGTTAAAATATAATTATTGATATTTCCCTGATACTAGGAACTCCATATCTTATGCACCTAAGGTAAGATATTGAAAATACTTAAACACGAACTTGATTGGTTTACACTCCGGCCAATATTCTAGTATATCACCCTTTTCATGAAACAGAGACATCAGCACAAGCTAACATTTTAAGTCTGACACCCTCAGCAGCTTCAAATAATTTCAAAATTGCAATACGGATTATGCATAAGATAAACATTGTATCTAATCAGAAGTGTGATGTCGAGTCATTTCAATAGACATAAAGATGGAAAAACAATAAGTATGTTTTCTTAATATATAGGAGCTTCAGATATGAAAATAGAACGGCGGAAACTTCAAAGAGAAAGTTGTAATTAAGCTCTCGAGTGTTAATTAGATGTTTAATTAATCAATACTTCGTGTATTATATTGCAATGGTTGTTACTTATTCAATATAATCTTTTTGATACACATTCCTTCAGAAATAGTCGTTAATTCTAATCAAGTCCAGATCGAGAGGTTTCTCATTTAAGAAACAATATGATGTGGCTCCCCGGGCTACTCACGTTGCCATCGCTATTGAAAAGATGATACAATCATTCCAAAGTCTAATTGCAAATTGATTTGCTAAACGAAACTCATATGAATTGTTGTGGAACTTATAATATCTCTCTCTGTTGCATCGTGTCCAGGAAGACAGACACGGAGAAGGTGAGGCTTACCACAGTGGAATCGTACTAATGATTTCATTAACAGAAGTGATAAATTTCCACCGGTACGGTACGTCTCCCCCTCATAGGTCACTGAACGGTTCATAAGTCTCACAGTGACTCACGTCGATTGTCTGGAGGCTCATTATTATGTTACATGCAATATAAATATTGGATGAGAAATCAGAGAACATATTGTAAAGGATATATCACGTTTTCTACATTTTGTATTTATACTTGTAAGCACATCAATTTACGATATCTCAGAATGCAATCTGTAGGCATGGCAGCGAAGGGGTATGTCACGATTTCCAATAATCATTTCTTTTCTGAGAAAAGCATCTCAGAAAATTGTCAGACTCGCATCACAACAATATACAATAAAACAAACACCTAACAAAAAACTCGAGAAGTAATTTTTGAACAACGCACATATACCTTTAACCAAAGGGTCAAAAGTTAATTCCAGATTTAAAAGTGTCACTTTAAAGAAAATTGTCCAAAATATCCCCAAAAGGCCATATAAAGCACTTTCATTTTAGCATAATAAACAACATTGCACTAAACAAGTGAATTGGGGCGATATTCTCTTGTTATTTCCTCTTCTCCCTAAGGAGTAATCTCTAAGTCGGGTAAAAAGTTCCCAGCTTCGTTCTAGCAGGATATTGCAGTTATCAATGTTATCTGTAAACTCAGGAATTATCAGATTATATTACTGATTATCGTCCCTAGATTGTACACAGATTATAACAGGTATCGAGTTTAATCGGATCAACTGGAATATACAAACATATGTGTATGTGATCTTTAACAAAATGGCGTAAGGTCAACAACGGAGGTCACGTGACATCCAAATTCTTGCAGACGATTCGATTATCAGACGTTTTTTATGGCTTTGGAAATTATATTTTCGATACAATTTGAATAAATTTCATTCTTTAGGTAACTTTAACGGCATTAGTATTGTTCATTAATTGCCTTTGGACCCATGGAATTGCCCATGAGACGCAAAACACTCTGACCAAAAATATGACAGAGGTATTGTCCATGAGGGTTTGAGGGTAAACATGATTACAATCGACTGAGAACCACTCCAGTCTGTAATGATAAACTATAGATACTTAAAATCTATGAACCTCAATGGGGTCCCTCGATGAAATTCACCTGACCCCAATTAATTTATTCTGGAGAGACTTGAAAGTGCAATTCCGACAAAAAAACTGTAGGTTGGAAGCTTTGTGGTAGTAGCCTGTAGTTGCACAATGGAAAGGGGTATTCAAAAGTAAACAACTTCGGATATAAATCAGACAGTGAGATCAATGCCCGTGGATCAATGCTAGCTGATTTCTCTACATCTTTAAGTAATGCCCCGGAAGTATGCTAATTACAAATATAAAAGTATTAATCTTTGGAATTCAAAATTTCAAAGGGTTCGTGTCAAAATATATACACACATTGACATTGACGACCGTTTCGAGAGTAAGAACAGTAATAGATTGTCTGACATTATTTTTGAGATTTCCCCTGAGTGTCAAACAATATTTGACAAAGTTTATTTCTGATTTATTGGGAAGTATGTACACTTTGCATCCGTTCGACTTCACATCTTAAAAGAGAGTTTCGTCTTCGTTTATAACTAGACTCTGCGCGCAGGGTAAAAGTATAGATATTTTCAACGGATACATGTGAAAGCATTTACAGTGAGGCTGAGTGATCGATAGAGGAAACGAACAAACTGATTAGTTCTGATTAGTACTTGTTCCGATAACGTAACATTTCAATGAACAGATAAAACACCTACACGTACTCTAAAAAAGTGTTATCTAAAAATCACATCATCTGATAAAGATTTGCTTGCAAGGGAAGATAAAGCATAGCTTTGGAAAGCAAAATTAATGAGGACATGATACAAATCCATATCAGTATTTGAAAGCACAAAACGCAAAAATATAGGGAAAAACAAGAAACGTGTAAGTACAGAATTAGTTTTTAGTTGAATTGATGACTTTTACGATATTAATATAATTTTCGTCGCTATAAATGATTTTGTACCCTGCGTGCAGAGTCTAGTTAAACTACAAGGCGGAGCTCTCTTTTAAGAAGTGAAGTCGAACGAATGCAAAGGGTAATGATTTTGTGGCTCGTTGTGGCTTGCACCATTGATTGTTCAACAAATGTCTCCACATCACATATTTTTGGAAACTCATCACATCCTTCCGTTTTCCAATTAGAGATATTCTGGAAACAAACATTGAATAGAATGCCATTTACATTTTTTCTTGATTTCTCGTGATGGCCATAGATGATCGATTGTGACACTCAGTCACTATCTCCTTCATGCCATATAATGCCGTGAAAACCCAAAATTGGCCTTATTATGTGCATAAGACGTATTCTGACATTTTTGACAGGTGTTTTTAATACAAGAAAATCTATGGGAATTCGTTTTTGACACTAATCCTCCGGCAAATCCGCTATGCTTTGCATGTTTTATATGCTAATTTAAGTTGATTAGAACAATATTTATGTTATTCAGTTATTTAAAACATTATCTTTGTAGCATACATAAAACATACTCTTTGTTTTCCTTTTGTATTTCTATTGGCCTTGGTATAAAGAATACGTTCATTCAATTAGAAGTAAAAATATGCTGCAGGAAATGAATACAAATTGAAAATAACAGTTTGGCGCATAGCCCCATAAAGCAATTATTCCGCTCACGGTCTACGGTTTACAATTCTAGGCAGATTTTGAGACTATGCATCTTCCAATATGTTCAACCAGTTCATACATCATTTTGATGTCACAAATCTAAATAATAATATTGACCGGCTTATCCGTCTATTAATTAATCCTAATTATCAATCATACAGAACACAGACAATGATTAGCTATTAGGTTATTAAACCCCGCAGAGATAACTAGGGCCGCTTAATAATTGTCTTAAATATCTTGATCAAAGACAAAGGATATCCCTTAGTTATTACAAGGGATTATAGTACCAGCCCGTAAGAACCCATCCTAATTGGTTATAGATTATCAATTCCATTGGTCGAAGTGGTAAGAATTGCATCATGGGAGGATACATCTCTTGGATTAAATATCACAGGGGGTAGAGGGATACTCCCACGATGATTTTTTCAGGTTCATTATCATTCCATTTGTCGATCAAAAATATCAATACAAAGTCGGAAATTTAGTTATTTACCCTGGAATTCCCTAGACAGGCGAGCAAGGGAAGGCAAATAGATCTATCGGATAAGCGCATGCTAAGAAGTACACGAAGACAATACTCTTTTAATTAAGTTTAGAAGATAGGTAGAAGCGGGGTAGACGTGTCTAAACTCTTGGTTGTCAGAACGTACATAAGGATGTAGACGAAGCTCTCTTTTAAAGAACTAAAAAACTAAGCACTGTTCGGTAAAAGGTAAAGAATTATTTTTACTTTATTTTGTTTTCAATCTTACTCGTTTCCCAGTTTGATTTTCACATCATTCATACCTTGGAAATCCAGGATGGGTTTCAATAGTGTTACTGGAAACGCTCTCTTTCATTCTTGTCACGAAGTGAGGTACGCTAGAATCCTCTCACCTGGATGGTAGAGCTTAGTAAATTAGTAGATGAAGTAAAATAAAACTATTGAAAACCGTTAGGATCATCCGATAATGAATCACTATATCAAAACATAAAGTTAGTTAAATATTTATTATAAACATGCGATGATGGGGGTAAAATCATTGAAAATAGAGTATCATATTATTACATTCAGATAAATCCGTTATCGTTAACAACTACAGGGTGTTCCAAATGGGGTCTTGTTACCATAGCAACCCGGCATAACTCTACCCGAGTTTCATACTTTTTAGAAACTACAGTTTGGGTTGCAATACTTTAAAGTACATTGTGTTTAAAAAAAAGTTAAGACAATTGGTGCATATTTAATTCAATTTACGTTTGGAACATTTTGTATGCCAGTTACGTATTTTGATCCGCATACAAAACCAGAATACGAAAACCGTAATAACACGCGTGAATAAAGGAAGCAACATTAAAAGCGATGTACTCGTGATAAGGAATCGGGAACTTGGCATTCGTCATATCATTTGCACAAATTAATATTAAACAACGAAGATGATATTAGTTGATAACAAAGGAGAATACATTAGTTAGTGTATATGAAACCGCATAATAATAACGTTATTAGTGAAATTACAAAGGACATCATTGATATAATGGAAATCGCAATGGAATTCTGAAAGGTATGACATTAGAAAAATATCTTAGCGGGTAAAAATGGTACTCTATAACGTGTGAAATGACGTTCTGATACCCATCGCATTTTTCGTTTTCAACTTGCAATTAAAGGGGCTATAAAGGAACTGAAAGACTGTGATGTCATTAGCTGTGCTACAGGGAGAAGACAATGTAACTGTCGTTTTGAGATAACTTGTCTTTTTCCTGAATTTCCTTCCTTGTATTTACAGTAGATAAAGTGAATAATGCACGAAAAGTCCTCTGTTATGCTTTATTTCATGGATTAATTATTGTATCATTATATTTTTAAGTCTACCTGGAAATTACCATTGATTTTGTAAAGTAAGCGATACTATGAAGTATGGCATTAGATAATAGCGAACATATCAGGAAAAGAAATGCATTGAAAAGCGGTAAATTGGTTTGAAGAAATGTTTTGAGATTGAATGAAACTTGAAATTAGAAGATTGATGGAAATATCGATTATTGATAATTTATGAATCTCAGTATGAATTTATTCCCAACCAATTTTCCTGAGTTGCAAATGTTTGGAGAATAAAATGTTTATGTATGAATTGAATGTGGTGTTAGGAATGCGAATAACGTTTTGAAACAAATAATAGAAACATCCGATTAAATTACATTTATAATTGTTGGAATTAATTATGGTTAATTTATGTTGTCGGGTCAAATGCCCGCTGGTTTAAAATGTTACTCTGTGATCATATTTTGTGATTACAAGTTGACTCCATTTTTTATGATCCATCATCATAAACAAATTAAGCGCGTGGTACAGTTGTAAGCAATCTGATTTATGTACCCCCTCCCTCTGACAGCGATGGCCTAGCGGGCAATAATACCTTATTAAAACAGAACATATGTGCCAAGGCAATGGGGCACGATGGGACGCCCATAGATTCAACATTGCGTCGTACATATGGGACTCTGTGGGGCATTGAACCATCAATGTACTTTGGGTTCTTAAAGGAAACATGCATTTGTAATACCTATAGCTGTCTCAACATGCTTGCTGGTCCATTTTTGTGTTTTAGCTAATTCTGTGGTGTCATTTTAATGAAGGGTACGCTTATCTCTGATAATAGTAAAATTACAAGTATTTATGTCATAGGTATCGTAATTAGTGGAAGATAATTCCAGGTGAAATGTATATTTAGGGGTACCAATATTGCAAGGTATTCGTAGTAGGTACACATTTCGGGCAAATATTACTCGTATATGTAGAATAGTATATTTGCGCTTCTCCATATCGTTGTCCATACTCTAAACTGTCATTTCAAATTGTCAATTATGGCCTCTTGCATTCGTCCTTTTGACAGTCAACCAAGGAACCGATGCTTACTATAAACACCTCTTTATCAATACACAATTTGATCATCTTTATCTTTGTAGTCTCAAATGGCTTCTGGGCATTTGACACTAAATGGACATTAAATGACGAAATTACTAAGATTAGACCTAGCTCGAGTAGCGATGATGGTCTTGTGACCAATTGTCACAGGGACAAGACTGACGAATAAACATTTTTTTGCCAAAGGAATCAACTGAAATAATTCTCACCGGGTGTCGTGTGGTATTAATTTTTTATAAAACGCTTCAGGCCCGTAAGACACTTTTCTTCAAGGGGGGTGCGGTTTTTACTAAAGAGAATATGAAATTGTCAATTTTTGCCGCGTAAATCAAATCGCGTAAGTCAGAGGGGGGGGGGGGGGGGGGTCGGTTACTCCCTATATTGGGGCCATTCAGCCTATTTTGTAGTATTAAACTAAATATTGAATGAGCAATTTGGAGAAACACTGGAATAGGGGGAAGGTGTGCTGGAAGGGCATAAATGTTTACCCGAAACTTTTTACCAGTTCAAGATCTCATTCAGAGATTTCTGGACACTTTAAGGTGTTTTAATCAATAGAATCAATTTAAAGAAATTCAGATTTTCAATCATTTCTTCTTAGGGGAGCGAGGGGGCAGCACAGGAAAATTCTACCAATTCAAGATGCTGTCTGATTAATTCTGAGCACTTTTAATGCGTTTGAGTAAATGAATGCTTTAGTTTTTGGGGTGGGGTACCAGAAATTTTTATGATTTCATTATGTCACTTGGTGACTGTTTAAGTGTCCAAACTGTCCAATTGTTTTGTATGGGGTGTGAGGAGTGGCCCACTCCCCGTAGAAAATTTTACACTTCTTAGATGCTATTTGGTGCTTTCTGGGCACTTTCAAAGTGTATGAGTCAATAAAACAATGGGAATTATTTTGGGGGTGGTGTCAAAGAGGATGGGAGGGTGAAGTGTGGGGTGCCAGAGGGGGACCAAGTGGTTGTCCCCTAGAAACATTGACCATATCAAGGTGCTATTTGATGATGTCTGGGTACTTATAAAAATGTCTGAGACAATAAGTGAAATTCAGAATTTTTTCAATTGTTTTGTGGGGGACTTGAGGGATGGCCAACTCTCCAAGAAAATTTTTAAAATTTCAAAATGATATTTGGTGCATCTGAGTACTTTTAAGTCAATAAAAATTTTGAAAAATAATTGTTTTTCTCAATTTTTGAGGGTTGTCAAAGGGGGATGTTGGGTGGGTGCCAGAGGGCGAGTAAAATCATTGACTATATCAAGGAGCTATTTGATGATGTCTGGGAACTTTAAAAGTGTCTGAGACAATACACAAAATTCAGAATTATTTCAATTGTTTTGTGGGGGATCGGATGTGAGAGGTGGCCAACTCTCCCAGAAAGTTTTACATTTTTAATATGCTATTTGGTGCTTTAGGCACTTTCAAAGTATATGACTCAACAAAAAATATGAAAAATCACAATTTTTTTCAATTTTGGGGGTTTAAAGGGGGGGGGGGAGGTGCCAGAGAGCGAGGTGGGGTGGGAATGCCAGAGGGCGAGTAAGTGTTAGTCTCCAAGAATTATTGACTATATCAAGGTGCATCTGAGTACTTTTAAAGTGTATGAGTCAATAAAAATTTGAAAAATAAATGTTTTTCTCAATTTTTGAGGGTTGTCAAAGGAGGGGGGGGGTGCCAGAGGGGGATGTTGGGTGGGGATGCCAGAGGGCAAGTAAAAATCATTGACTACATCAAGTAGCTACTAGATTAAAGTATTTGATGATTTCAGGGCACTTTAAAAGTGTCTGAGACTATACATAAAATAAATTCAGAACTTTTCCATTGTTTTGTGGGGAGTGTAGGAGGTGGCCCTGCCCCCCCCCAGAAAATTTTACAATTTTGAGATGCTATTTGGTGCTTTCTGGGCATTTTCAAAGTGTATGAGTCAATGAAAAAAAATTTCAAAAAAAAAAGTTTTCAAAAAAAATAATTTTTTTTCAAATTTTTTTTGAGGGGTGTCAAAGGGGGGTGCGGTCGCACCCATCGCACCCCCCCCCATCTGACGTCCCTGCCGCTTAATGTAAACTAGCAATAGCATGTATTATAGAATCGGGAAGTTATTTGACTGGGGGACTTTTTAACCTGTAATCAGGACACTATAATCAGGGGACCATAATTGATTTATCTGATTGTTTTAGTGACCTCGTTATCTGACATTTACCAGTTAACAAGCCAATGAAAAAGGAGAGAAATTACAGTTTGAATTTTGAAGCCAAAAATACCGTTTAGAAATAAGTAAAAGAAGACGTTAATTTTCGAGCAGGGCAGTCAATCGATATCAAGGTGGGATGTAGGAAAAGTGGAAAAGTAATTTACCTACGAATAAAACAAATATTATTATAGTACGCTGTAAATTCTTATAACGGATGTACATATAACTTGTACCTTAATGCTGTTTTATCATCATGATAAACCATGATACCCCATCTCCTCTCAACCCTGAGATGAGAAGGGTGCTATGAGTATCAGAATGCTGTTTTATATGTCTCTGCTCCATGGATGTTTTGGGTGTTAAAAAGAAGTAAGATATATCGTTGACTATTTTCATTTTCTATTTCCAGCACTCGGGATGAAGTTCTAATATTGATGGGATATAATTAAGGTACAGTGACCGTTGCCTTAACAACAGGTATTCTCCTGAGAAAGATCTTCACGTTGACAATGGCGACCAAACGAAGAAACGTTGCTAAGGCGATTGTACAGCATGACTTTAACCCCGTTGAATCAATGGAAGTAGCCGTATCTAAGCACGAAATGGTTAAAATAATCCAGGAACACAATGGTTGGATATGCGTCGAGAAATCAAATGGACAGATTGGATATATACCCGTCAGTTTTTGTAAAATAATCAAAAGAACATTGAGGAATGATGCCAGTGCCAAGGACACACACGCATCCATTGATAACACCAAAGACGCTGATACGTCGAATGACTCTTCTAACTTCGAGGATAACATAGAAGACTCGCTAAATATGTATGGTATTGATAAAACGATAGAAAAAGCCAAAGAATATAAGATTCAACGCCTCAAAAATGAGTACAGGGAACATTTACCAAGATCTACGTCAAGGTCAACTGAAAGTAGGTCAAGGTCAGTAAAGAGGTCAAATGAACATGCAAGAAGGTCGAAGTCGTTGACATCTATCGGTACATCAGACAATCAAATTATTACAAGACACTCATCAGCAACAGATCTAACCAACACTGCTTTATCAACAGATGATCTGAATAATGATTCGACTTTCAACTGCTCAAATAAAGATCTTTCAATAGAGTTGAGTTCGTGTTCTAGTCCAACCGAAATTGTTCAAAATGCTGTTTTTCAATTATCACCTCGGACATCAAGCGTTAAAACTGTACGTGAGGTGTTTCCTAATGCATTTGGTGGAAAAGTTCCTCAAAACACCGATGCCCCAGCTCCAAGTAGTGATACTTTGCCAGGCAAATTGTTACTCTGCCCTAAGGAACAGTGTACAAAAGAGACTCGCCGGTCAACAGTCGATTCGGAGGTCAACTGTGTATGTGATTGTCATGTCCTTCGCAAAGTGAAATCTATCGTTGGAAATGATTTAGATTTCATCAAGGATAAAATAAAAAACAATTTGAATCTATTGGAAAATGTAAACGAAGACGACTTAGATCGTATTCATGATAGCTGTCATGGTAACGAAAAAACATTATCCAGTCATCATGACGACGCTAAAACACAATGTAAGACATGTGGCTCTAATGATGATAATATTCACGATCCTTACAGTGTTGATAAAAAATTATTGATCGGTAATAATACAAGTGAGAGTTTAGAAGATGATAATAGTGGTTACTATAGAAACCATATTAGTAGCAACGACAGTGGTTATTCTGAAGTAATGGACTCCGATACTTATAGTCAACTTAGTGACAGTAACATTGGTAACGACAGCCTTGATAACTGCAGTGACCAACAAATATATGAAACCCCAACGTCACAAGGTGGTTGCTATGGTGATGTAAATGGTTGCCATGGTGAACACCGTGACAACAGTGATATATCTGATGAAAGCAGTGAATTTGATGTAGCAAATGGACCAGAGTATTTTATTGATGATGTATGTACAGACGATTATGCGAATGCATATAGCAGTGAAAGTCCAAATTCATACGGTGGAAGTCAAAACCCATACAATAGTGAAAGTTCATATTCATACAACAGAAATGTAGGTCAAATTAGAAATACAAATAATGGACCTACTAGCATACTTACTAAACCAAACAAAGGAGGTTTGATGTCCCATCGTGGACAAGAACCTCAAACTGGATTTTATCTGAAAATGGACAAGAATTCTGGGATAGTACCAGCAACGTGCAATATAAAATATGGATATAAATATGATCACGATTCAACGTCATATTTAGGTTCTGGAAACGACAATCAGTATGACTTACGACTCCCTAGACGAAACAAAATCAAGAAAAGAGTGCATTTTGAAATAGATTGTAATGAATATGTCATCTAAAACACGTTTTATTATCGAATTTGGTATTTCTGCCGATAAACAATGAAATAAAATGTAAAAGTATAATTTATTTAAAATGATTGTTCTTATTGTTTAATTACAGCAAACCGGGTAAGTCTATGAACATGATGAAGTTAGCACATCATTTACCGTTTGCATTCGTTCGACTAAAAGAGAGCTTCGTCTTCAGTTTATAACTAGACTCTGCGCGCAGGGTACCCATCATTTGTCTTTAACAACCGTTCTCCTTGTCATCGTATTACATGTCAAATTTAGGACTCTTTTGACCCTGTATAATTTGGAAAACTTTTAAAACAGGGTTCTTTTCAACATGACCAATTAAGGACTCTTTTGAACGGAGAGCGCAGCATACAAATTCCTAAAACGTTTATCCATATAATCAGGCCAATTTCCGATGTCAAGCATTGGGCTGCGACTACAAATGCTTCCATCAAAAGATGTCATCATTATCGCTTAATTTGGTCAACGTTTAGGAGCTGGTCGTTTTTACCAGAAAGTTCACGATTTTTCCGCAGACGAAATGAACCAGCAAGTGCAATGACAATGCAAATGCCAATCATGCTTCTGCACGAAATTCGTAGAAAGCCTATTATGATCTAATAAAAAATGATTGAAAATGCGCAGTTCACGACATTATTACTTTTAACGAGGGTTTCTAATATACATTGTATCCTGTACTGTGTTTCTGGCTAGTGTAAACACCGATTAAAATATTTTTACTTCAAATAGGTACATCTGCCTTTACTGGTCCAGGATTAGACAACGTCTAGGGGCGTGAAATCGTAAAAAGTAATGGACCACTTGTTATGATTATTAAACAATGGGGGTTGACTACCTCCCTTTATATTTCCTTCTTCAAAGACTATCTGGTAATGCATGCCCGTATCCAGCTTTTTGTAAGGGGGGGGGGGGGTCGAACTCCCTTCCCCAGCACCCGGGCTTATTAGCCTTTTGCAGATTGTTGACATAGACATAGATATTTTAAGAGAACTGCATTTTAACCATTAAATACTAACATTTTCTTCTATTTGATGGCATATTTGAATATGTGTAATTATCTGTCAGAACAACTTTGATTTGCACCGTTATTTACCTTTATTCAAATTACAAAGATTTTCTAAAAAAATTGTCTAAAAAGGCCGGGCTAAATCCCCGTTGGGCACAATGTTGAAAAACCCTTTAAAAGTTCATTTACTCTTATACATGTTATAAGGATCACAATTGTGATGTGAAATCACAATCCACATATCAATGAGATCATTTTTTATATTTCAATGGTCTTTTAAGTCGATCCAAATGGAATTACTTGTTAGATCATGAAATAAAGTGACCAACACCCGTGATGTCATCTATTTTTTCGGGACTCAACACATGAAGGTAAAGAGAGCTGTACGAAAATAATCGTTCACTCGGTGTGTATTATTAATATCAAAACGAGGTCAAACCGGAAGTCACACCTGAGAAAACTTTTAAAAATGCGAATTTATCAAAACATTATGAATTAGGATACATATAGCGATCAACATGGGCTTCGAAATATTGCTTTATGTACCCAACATTATAGGTAGGTAGAAACTGACAACCGGTAACATACAGATTAGTGGAAACGACAAGAAATAAGGAGTGTTATGGTGATTTTATATTTCAAACTTTCGAATCAATCACTGATCATTTTAGACCTGTACATCAGCAATCATTATGAAGGCTTATCGTCTCTTATAAAATGATGCCATGTATACTAAGCAAATTCAACAAACAAGGAAGTGATGGAGTTTTGGCAGTCTCACTTCTGAACATCTGCAATAACAGGAAGTTGTACAAACCATGGGCTTTCAATTAGAAGGGTATGCAACTCTGTGTAATAACATGAGACCTTCCAAATGAACAATGCCATGCTTCCTTTTTATGGTAATATTTCAAAAAGTATTAGATAAATGTATATGTTTTAGTATTATTTTGAAAAAAATCAATTTTCAATATGATTAAAGCATAAAATATATTCAATCTCATGTAAAAGTAAGCAAAAAAGACCAATAAGAATAAGAGGTATCAAGATGTTCTCTTCAAGTATTGCATTGTGGGTAATTATTCAAGAACACATTCCCAAAAATATATAATTTGTGGGTCAATGTTCACTTTCTGTATTGTCATAATTACAATGAATTCCATTTTTTATTAAATTATCAACATGTATGCAGATGATCATGTTTTTATTTTTGAGTTATTTCTTTATATCATCCATAAAAAGGACAAAATAATATTTTCTTGGAATGTGTACATTCTCCAATTTTGAAAATCCAAAGGCAATGCTTATGTATGAAATATGGGAAGTTGCCTACCCTTCTAGTTGAAAGCCCATGTACAAACTAAAGGCCCCTGGGGTCGGGCTCTTACCCTGGGGCTGTAACCCCCATAAACTGTCCTTGTGGCTATTTTAAAGAAGATATCTCTCATTTTCTCTTTGACTGTCCCCTTTACGCTGCCCCACGTGCCACCCTAGTGAGAGATATTGGGAACACTGGGAACTACCGGAACTTAGCAAAACATTCAAAAATCCAATTACTTATACATGGCAGTGATGCCATATCCGTCAACGATAATTTAACTATTTTTACTCACGTACAGAAGTTCATTGAACACACCCAGAGATTCATCTGACATATTTATTTAAAGATCTAATAGCAAAGGTTTTGCAAAAATGAATCAATGTATTTTATTTAAGTCTACATGCTAATTGTAATATATATATTGTAGAACCCTAGAGGGTTATAATGGTACTTGTACACTGTTACCTTCTAGGTTAAATAAAATGATTAAAAAAAAACCCCATAAATGTTGGGTTCATAGGCCCGAGAACATGTATAAAAAATCAAGTGCTGTTCTACTTGGTGTATTAGACCATGGGCTGAATGCCCATGATTCGACTCAATTTTTATACATGTTCCCAGGGTCCATAGTCAAGTTGATTTTTCAAATATTGACAATATGCAGGAATAGTGGTTATTTAGATAAAATCTAGCAGTCTGATTTTTTCTTCCTTCAAGAAGAAATCAACTAAAAATACCCCTCTCTTAGAAATAATGAGAAGCCAACATTTCCAATTCCATATCCATCCAACTTGCAATATATCAAAGAAAATAGTTCTGGTGTCAGAAAACTGTAGAATATGAAATATACAACGATTTTTGTGTGGAAATAATTCTCACCAATGACTTGCATCCATAAGACTTTTGCAGTTTGTTTCACTTACTCCATCTATTTTTTGTAGGTTACATCAGGATTTTGCTGATAGCGACATCTATCTCATTTTATTGGCAACCACCTGTTTTCCTCACTTTATACATTCTATCAGTGCTACTTGATGGTAAGTAATTCAGAGTAAGAACAATTAAAATTCATGAAATATTTTCTTTTTAATTTCAACAGTGATAATCAGAATTTTTAGATAAATAATACTCACATAGATCAATATGTTGTGCTGTATAACAAAACGAAGACCATCTCTGAATAGGACTCTAAAGTTGGGTTTTTGTGCTGTTGAAATTACTTGTTTTGGATTTAGAGGTTTTTATTTCAAATATGTCATGCTTTGACACTATTGCCAAAACAGAAAAAATATAAACAAAAAATAATTCCTTTAAACAGTTGAAATAGAACCAATATGGCTGAAAGTTATATGCTATATGCTCAAAGGTGCGATCTGAAATTATTTGTAAAATTAGAATTAAATAATGTGTACAATTGTAGGTCTTGATGGGTATGCTGCAAGGCAACTTAACCAAATCTCTGCTTTTGGGGCTTGGTTTGATGTTGTGATTGACATATGTGGACGGGGCTATCTGTGGTGCGTCCTTTATGACGTAAGTACATGCACTTTCAGTTTGCCTCTATTAGTAAGGAATCATAGACAGTTGAAAAGACAATGCATTTATAACAATTCTTCAACTTTGATTTTTGCAAACTTTTGATGATGAACCCCTCTCTGGTTTAGGAATTCAAATGGTAGTTTTTTATCTAAAATTTATTAGCATTATACTTATTGAGAGGCTCTCCTCTAATGGGATTAGTTGGGAGGTCAAGAAGAGAAAAATAATATGTTTCTATATTTGTTTATATTTCAGTGGGGCTACTTGGTAGCTGCTCTAGAATGGATAGTGTTTGTATGTACACATACACAGGGGGCAGAGTGGAAGAAGTCTTACATACAGGCGCCATGGTTTGTCTCCATGGTGATGGCAAATAGTAAGTACCAATCTCTGTATTGTAGCCCCCATCTCTACTCTGTGAACCCCTCTTGTCTTACTGATATGGACTCAAGGTAAGATTAAGTTTCACACAGTGTTTAGGGAAGGAAACATCTATTTTTAAATTCATGAGTGAGTCTTATTTCATGTTGTATTGTTACAATTGTACTCTTCTCCTCTACCCTCTTTCTCTCCATTTACAGTACACAATATTGGTTACTTTCTCCCCATTTACTGTACATAATATTGGTTACTTTTTCCCCATTTACTGTACACAATATTGGTTATAAGCATAAGAACATATTTACAATTTATTTACAATATAAGATCTATATACATGACATAATACATTGGTAATAACATATATACAAATGATAATATCTCGCAGTATTAGTAATAGATTGAAGACGTGGTCATAACCTTCCACAATTATTTCATCAGTCCTGTTTTTATCATATGCCCTAGGATGGACGGGGCTTCATTCTGATTGGATCTTGCGACAGGGAATGCTGGCCAAGTCCAGATTATTTCACAGCTGACACTCCTCGTTCAATGTTTTTTAAAAAGAACTGAACATTTCTTTATTCGAACTTTTATCATTTGTCTTCTGGCATTGCTGGCAACCATCTTTCTCTGAAGATTTCATCCCCAAAGAAGTGGAAATTGCATATTTGGCCTCTCTTGCCTGGAAATAGAATTAAACACATTTTCATAATTGATCTTGTTAAGCTCAAATGTGTATTGGTACAAGTTCCATAAGGGTAACCCTTTAAAGTATTGAAAACTGAGATAATATCTCAACCAGTGGTCTAAATTACAAAGAAACAGTGTTTAACCCCCCCCCCCCCCCGCCACCATTCAGAAACCATTATCACAATCATTACCAAAAGACCATCAAATTTGTTTCAGTAATGTTCATGTATCGTACACATTTACAGTACAGTATACATGTATGTATCTCTGGGTTTCACTAGAATTTCTCACAACAGACTTTAAATAGAAGAAAACAACAGGGAAAATTAATAGAAATCATAAATTTAACGTGGAAAAGTTGAAAAGTCCCTGCTGCTAATGAAACCCTTGATATAAGTTGCATTTTTTATTCTTACCCTTTTGTTCAATCGATGGAGGGCTCTCTGGAATATGTTGCGTGTGTCCTTTTTAGGCATGGAAAATGCTGGGTCATATACTGGTGACATTCTAAGTATATATTCCATATCACAGTAAGATTTAGTGTAGATACCATTTTCTCCAAACTTGTTGAAATCTATTTCAGGCCATTCATATTTTATTTCAATGGCATCCAAGTCAACAACTGCATTGTTGTCACCGATATCTTTTTGTCCTTCAATCTCTTTTTCAACTTCTGGTTCAATGAAAGGCACAATTCTATTGCTACGTCTCCACGATTTTCTTGTTTCTGTCGATTTCCAACAGCAGATTTGACTCATCGTTTTCCTGAACTTGTGGCTTTTGTTCATTGGTGGCCCCATTCTAATTTCTAATGATAAGTTGTTGTTTGCTCTTTGTATTTGAATGTTTACTTTTCTGTAGAATTTCACTGATGTGCAGCTCAATTTATTTTCTCTTGTTTGTATTTCCATAGAAACTCACATCTATCACCAGGTAATATGTGTATTGTTATGCATGACATCACTATAAAACATTTCATGTTGCTATGAAACAATGGACCTATCATCAGTCTATTTATGACATCACAAGTGGATTTGGTTGTTATGTCCAAAGTGCCTAGAAACAATTCAATTTATTGCTTTATGACATCACAATAGAAATGAAACTTTGATGCCTGTGTTTATGATGTCATAATAAGTATTTTTTTAAATATGAGGTCAGATCAAGGAACTCCATGGTTACAGTTTGTTTGTTTTACTTTATTACACCAAATATAAATTGGGAATTTTATTACTGTATGCTGCTATATTGCTTTGGTATTTTAACTAGAAATACATTTTCTGATCACATTTTATTATAAGGCCTATCATTTTTTGCTTGTAATAAAGTTTTGATAATTTACGCATGGGCCATATAACAAGCTGGCCTTACTACGAGAAGTCCAATTTTCATAAACCTATAAAAATGATAATTTTATGAATTTATATATCATTTCAGATTTTAAAACCCCCATGGGAGCATATGTGATTACAGGCCTGCATTTTCTACCAGTTTGGCTCTATGCATACTACACTAACTTCTTAACATCAGGACTTGGCCTTCCTGTATGGGTGCAGTTCTCTGGGATATGCATGCTCAGTTCTGCTAGAGCTGTTTGCATGTTTGTTGAGGTAGGGTATTTATTTTAGTATTTAAAGGAGGATTGGATTTTCCAACAATGAAAATGTCATAATGTCATTATTGTTTGACATAAACTAGTTTTAAATTTATAATCAGCAATCCAAAAGATTCAAGCTAATATCTTGATCACTTCTTGTGTGTTTTGATTTTTTTTGTTATTAAGTTTGATCCATAAAAATGCAAAATTTGAATATATGTCAGTTCAGTAGAAATGATTAAATAAAGAATTGTCATTATTGACCCAGATTTATCGAAAAACAGCTTATTTTAGCAATCCAGGAGAAAATTCCAGCTATTATATTTATGAATCAGTAATCAATGGGATGTTATTGCATAACAAATAGAGAAAATATCCTTTCATTAATAAGCATGCTCATACCATGGTTTATTCTGTAAATTGACAATTGAATATACAATGGAGTGCTCTCCCTACATTGAAATCTCCCAGGCGCAGCCCCTCTGTGTATTTTATAAAACCAAAATGCTCCTCGATGCAATTAAATGTGCCTCCTAAAATATACGATAAAAAATAAGGAAATTCAAAACTGTTGTTTGAAAAATTACAAAATTGTAAAATGTAAAACAAAAAATTACAAAATCATAAAATGTTGCACAAAAAGATACAAAATTCTAAAATGTCGCAATAGAAAAATAACTAAATCCTCCACACAAAAAAATCCTGGGGAGAGCACTGCAATGTGGAGTAGTTCAGAAACTGATTCCTGTTCATTATACTTGAAGTTTTACAACAATATTTTTCAGATGTGGTGTGTGTTGGCTCACATTAGATATCTATTAAGCGATGAGGCTAATAGAGAATTTAGTATTAAAAATACGACAAATGGATCTCTGAAATCTGGCGGAACAACTCGATAGTTTGCTGAAGGCTTTGAGCAGTATACAGTGCCCAAGAGAGGAAGTGGCGTCTTATAATTGGATATGTTCAACAGAGTCCTCAACATGTATAATAAAGTCTAAAATTCGACATATTCAGAAGAGTCCAAAATAGTTATCGTAAGATAGGGTTTTGAATTGGACATGTTCAAGGGAGGCCTGAATTTGACATTGTCAAAGGAGACCTAAATCGGACATGGACAAGAGAGGCCAAATTAGGGCCGAATAGGGCCTTGAATAAAAAAGATTTGAATTAAGTCTTGAAATCCATGTAGTAAAAATCTACAAATACTTGTACAAAAGTATGGATAGCATTCCAACATTAACATAAGCTTAAATCTATAATGTAATAATTGTCATCTTGAGATTTATAACTTTATTCAATGTTGAAATCCGGTGAGTGATACAGCAATATCAATGCAAAACATTTTAGCTGTAGATAAAGTTATTTAAAGGGGCAAGAAAGACTAGAGAAGTGTTGAGCGTAGCTTTGTAAAAAATTGTCAGATTTCAATGTTTTACCAACAACATTCCATGTCACATACTTTTTCTAAAAAGTTCAACAGTCATGCATTCATTTTATCACATTTTCTTCTGATTTTCTTTCTGATTTTTAACGATATTATGCAATGATTCTTGAAAAGTAGACATACCCTTTTCAATTATAATGTGGTCGGAGGTTTCTGCCTCTTTAATCTTTAGTGACTTCTATATTTTATCAAATATCTCATTTTTTCAGATAATAATGTTTATGACTGAGGGAACAATTTGCATGTATTTTCAACTCTCTAGTCTTTGTTGCCACTTTAAATCATACTCTGATATTACAGACTGTGTTATTATTACAAAACTCATCAATGAATGTGTGTAAACACATAAACACAGAAATGCAGTTTAAGTTTTGTGAAGAAAAATTTATATTTTATTTATGATAGAATTAGTAATAAAATAGTTTACAGTAGTTGTCGTATAAAAAGTACTAAATGGAGGTACATTGCTCACAGGGTGTATTTAAATGTACATGTATTTGTAAATGTTGAAGTTAAAAATGATTTATTTTATATTGTTCCCTACAATGCATATACACTTGGGAAGTGATATTACCTGTGTTATGCATACAAATGTGATTTGAAAACCAATTGTCAAATCTCAAAACCACATGTTTTACAGTGCAGTGATAGAGATGTGTATTTATGTGTGTTACAAAATGATAGAATTAATGCACCCTTGTCTATGACATTCATAGGCCTAGTTAAGTTCCCGTTTGTTTTGGGCATGTAATTAATCTGTATTTATGTACTTCGTCTACCATATAATTTATTATAATACAGTATTTACTGATCTTTCTATAAAATACTCACACTCAGGGGCTGTATCAAATGTTAAGGGGTTTTCTCATTTCTACATTGGTTGTAAAGGGACAAGCCATGTTCCAAATTGAGCTAATTAATCAGTTTACATTTATTAATTCTTTAATATCACAAAAAGTGTTTAATAACAGCACATACTGAACTTCAGAGATTGCTCCATTCGTTTTATCTTTGATCTCCAGTGAAGGTGAATCATGACAAGGTTTATTTACCTTAAAAACATGACAGTGTTATATCATATTATACAATATTTTAACAAGGTGATATCCATGATAACATGGCAAGGTAATAATATGTACAAATAAATATTATTGCAAGGTAAAATATGCAGTAAAATATCAAAATGTGATATCTCGTAATATACAGTTTATCGAGTATGTAGTTAGGACAGGGCATGATAAATCAAGATGACAAGGTGTATGAATATCTATATTTAAATATAATGCAAGCATATGCCAGAATTTTGAAAACCTGTATATTGTTTTTAGTAGTTTTTCGATGGAGTATCATCAAATTTCTACATAAAGGGAATTATAATATTTACATATCAGGTGAATGGTATTTTTCTATATGTGTACTCTAACAATGCAAAATAATTTGTGAAGCTTTTTCATTAAATTTTATCCTTATTTCTGGCAGTGAGCCAAGCGGGTCCAACTATGCACATTGAAAAACTGTTAGAAGCGCTTCCTAAAACTGGGGACCCAAACACCGCTAAAACGAGGGACTCTGTGTAACAGAACAGTGTACCAACAGAAAGGCATTTTGAAGAAATATGGTGCAGTATGAGACTCACAATCATTGATTTTCAAACATCTGGTAGGTCTAAAATTCAAATTAATTGTTTTTCAACACGCATAGTTGGACTTGCATGTGAGCACTTCAAGCCACTCTAATATGTTCTTATTAATAATAAATATTTTCTATTCTATAAACTATGGGTTTGTTGGTGTTTTTAAATCGAGGCTTCATATCTGAAGGAAGTTGTGGATCGATAGTTGTGGAAAAACAGTTTCGTTCTGGTTTAATCACCCTTCACCCATGTAACAAAATTTGAAAACGTTGATTGCCTTTTTCTTGGATTCTCCAAAAATTTTGGATTGTTCACAATGCTCTAATGAGTTTGCATTTACCTCCTCCTCTTACAAAATTGAATCTTCCAACTTACTACACAACCAGTTCTTTCACTAAGGGGCGTTACAAAAGTATTTGGTGATGTTTGATTGCTTCACAATTTAAAAGACAAGGTAATGGCAATCAATAAGGGCCAATACATTTTTTCAGAACTTGTCTTGCCCAATAGAATCTTTCAAATGACAATAATGTTCATTTTTTAGTTGCATTAAGTGAGTGCATAGGTGATCACATCAAGTGAGTGCATAGGTGATCGCATCAAGTGAGTGCATAGGTGATCGCATCAAGTGAGTGCATAGGTGATCGCATCGAGTGCGTAGGTGATCGAATCAAGTGATAAACTGCATCTAGTGTTCAGACAACATTACAGTGTCGAGGTTATAGAAGAAGAATATGTTTGAAATTTTCAGTACAATTGAACATGTTGAATAAGTTCAGATTCTTCCTTGAAATGAATGTCATTAACAAAAGAGCATATATGCATTGTGATCTAGTTGACTGATTTATTGGTTGACAATTCTCATGATAAATATACATATATTACAATTGGTTCTACACATACACTCTCCTATACACAAAAGGCAGAAGACAGTCTCGTTCAATAATTACACGTTGTACATTCCTCTACAAAACACCACCTCCTTGAAGCTCTATCATACAATATACAAAGCCTGTATTGACACAGACCCAAAAATGACATAATTGTCTCAGGTTTAAGTATGGTGGGGCTACCCTAATTTTCGTGGCTGTGCGTTTGACTGTCAATAAAAATCTCTCAAGGCTCTATCATACAATGTACAGTCCAATGTATGGCCCCAAAAAGCAGCAAATTACACAAATTGGCCCATGTTACTAAATGGAGGGACTACATTAAGTTGAGGCATTTCTAAGAACTGTAAATTTAACTATAGACATAAATTTCTTCAGACAACTCTACTGAATAAAATGAATGTGAAAAATACTACATTTCTATACAGCAGATATGTACTATAATAAATACACACGACTTCGAATGTTTACAAACTGATGTACAGTAAAACCTGTTTAAGTGGAACACCTTTGGTACCTCTAAAAAGTGTTCCACTAGGGAGGTGTTCCACTTATAGGGGTCCATTTAACATTAAGTCAGTTGGTCTTGAGACTCTGAAGAATGTTCCACTCTATATGGAGTTTTCCACTTCTAGAGGTCCATTTAACATTAAGTCAGTTGATCTTGGGACTGAAAAATGTTCCACTTATGGAGGTTTTCCACTTCTAGAGGTTTTCCACTTCTAGAGGAGTTCCACTTCAAAGGTTTCACTGTTTATGCTATTAAAAAAGCAGTCTAAACTTTAAGCTCTTAGCAGTTGTTACCAGTCCATTTCAATTCATTTGAACCTATGATGTTTTGCATGAGTCATTACAGACAATGGAAAGGATAATAGACCTTTCCGATAAATCCTGCCACCTTTTGGTAAACTAAAGAAGCTATGATATATTGACTAGATTGATGACATCATTGGTTGTACTTTTCAAAACAAAATTAGCAATTACTAGACCAAAATCCTATTTTTGCCTGTAATGACATCATCAATCTAGTCAATATATCATAGCTTCTTTAATATACCAATTGGTGGCAGGATTTATTGGAAAGGTCGATTTTGTGAATATACTCGACTGCAGTCTGACAAGAGTAAACCATGCAGCATATTATGTAAATGAGTAAAAATCATGATGACAATAATCTACAAATCATAATAAAATTTTAAAATTGAAAAAGAAATGCTAAGGAGGAGAATCAGCAAGGAATTAAGTAAACCTGTCATCTAGGAAAAACTCTTAATTGTGAAGGAATGCTAGAAAAATGAGCATTCATTCAATTTTTAATGAAAAATCCAGTTTAAGCATGACCACTTTGGCAATTTAGATTTTAGACATAGGTAGAATTACAAGTTCTCATTTCTAGGTATTCACTATTAGATTTGATCACATAGTGTACAATGTTTTTGTTATATATCATCCTTAAAAGCACATATTTCTAGAATAGTTCGAGCAAATGCACTCTGCTAATAAAACCTGAGTTGTGATAAATGATAAACACAAAAAAATTTCCCATACAATAATAGTTCAAATATTGAACCACTAATTTCTCTACAAGTTGAGATCTAGGAAACTCATTTTTCCGGATTCATAAAACAGGTCATTTTTAAAATAAAATAGCCTACATATTTCATCCCTAATTCCACTTTTTTTCATTTATTTAATTACAATATATTAATTTATTTCTTTGTTATACTGTTCTCAACAGTTGAAGAATTACAAGTATATGCATTAACAATATGGCAATTCTCTGTGATGGCAAATATAACATCTATTGAAATGCTATCGCTGTTAATATATATCTGCTTTAAATGGGCTTATTAGCCTTTTGCAGACTACTGACATCGACATATATATGTTAGGACAAGTTTGAGACTTTTGAACTTCAAAACTTTTTTTATTCTGCTTACAAGTGGTGTAATCTTTTAAAGTGCAAAAAGGGTAACTTGGTAAATACTAGATAGTATGGTTCACTTTTCACCAAATATGGTATTTTGTAGTAATCGTAAGTATGGTATATTAAATGATGTCATTAATGATATCACAGTGAGGAAACACTGAAAGTTATTGTTTATCAACATAACTGACTCACAACAAAGAAAGCATCAAAATTTGTGAATGAAAAATAAATAAATGTTTATAAAATTGCTTTTTTAAAATCAATTCAATGTTGGAAAACATCTACTGTTTCAGGTAAAACACATCTCGACTTGGAGCAATTATCTCCAGCTTCTGTTTTTATCTCACTAAGTGAAAATAACTATTTTGACTTATTTCGGGTTTATCCCATTTTACCATGATTTCCCCAATGTTCTCAACTGCATGTAGATTGATTTTCAGATGACAAGAGTGAACGATAGTAATCATTAACTGCCAACATTAAAGAGCAGCAAAGAAAAGAACTGAGTTGAAACCAACTTTCTAAATTGTCCGCTCACAACATTCCATGTCGCGTCTATTTTCTAAAATGTCCAACAGCTCTGACTTTTTCTTAATTTGAAATGTTATTTAACAAACATTTTGATAGAGTGGATTTTTTATTTTTAATACTAAGAATTTGGATACGTTACCATCTTAAATCTTTGGACATGTTGCCATCTTAAATCTTTGGAAATGTTACCATCTTAAAAATCTTCCAATAACAGATTAAAACATCTCAGTTTTTTTCAGATAATATAATAAGGGCGACACTTTTTGAAAAGATGACTTCATCTTTATATACTTTCTTTGCTGCCACTTTAAAAAGCCAGAAAATTGACATACATGACACCTAGCTGACTAACATGACATATACATGTATAAAAATGCAAATCTTAGCATTTAACTTGATTACTCGAATCTATGAGGAAGCAGTTTACAAGATCAGGAGGCGAGAAATCTATAAAAACACTTATATCACTGAAATCTACCAAAAAAGGATTTCTCTTCATAATAATAATGAACTATGTAAAAGCTTTTACCTCTCGATGCCAATATGGGACGTTTTATCTGATCATATAAGAATTTATACATGAATGACATTCAGCTTTCATCCCAAGTGGCTCAACTTCCAAAATATTCATTCCAGCTTCCATATAATCACAAAAATGTCTACACTGTCAAAGGTGGTCATAAATTTCAAATTCAATTGCAACAGATCGCTAATTTCTTTGAAATGGTGAATTTTGGTAAAATGGCTGGAGAAAAATCACGCATTGTCTGATGGCAATGACACTCCTGATTGGTCAAGTCTGTGGTTCATATTCACCAAGATTCAGCGTTTTTTTCAAACAAGACAATGTGATTATTAAATATGATTTCAGTTCTTGTATATTGGTTTTTGGTCTATTCATTAATTTTGAACTTTTCATTATTCGATGGTTTTAAATTTTTTTTAATGTCCTGTATGCAAAATACAGGATATCAACCATCTTAGATCGAACACATGGAATCGAACACATGACCACCTATACAGGTATATTATGTGACGCTTGTAAACTGCAATCATAATCCCAAGGTAATAATTTCAGTTTGCATAAATATATATAATATGTTGCCATCTAAGAGAGAAATGAGTCACTAGGGTGTGCTTGGGGTTAATCTGCCTTAGTTCCTTTAACTGCTCCTTCCTTTATAGCCTGCAAATATATCAAGAGAAAATTAATAATCAATATCCATACATTGTCAAACAAGGCATTAACATGCACAATGTCACCAACTGACATTTGTTACAGATGCTCGATGCCGAAAGCCAGTGATCATAACAATGTCACCGCTTGTGCTTTTGAAGCAAGAGCTGGCAACAAATGGAATGCACGGCAGGTACTATTCATATTTAAATGAGTTTGCAACCTAATTGCAATTAACCCGGTAGCCGATAGCCACTATTCGATTTGCAAGTACAAACTTATTCTTCATAACTTATCTCATATCTCAAAGCATCCATCCATCAATATGGAATGACAGACATAATACAGGGTGACACCAAAAAATCAACTGATAACCAATAATCACTGATAAATTTCTGCTGAATAAATGATACTGCTTTTTTGGGTTCCTCTGTATAAATAGTGCTATGTTCATACCTTATCTAATTCGTCCTTGGTTTTATCTTCTAGGGCTCTAATGTCTTCCATTGTTAGGCCATACCAACCATCAGTCCAACAAAACACTTGTCTATGGAAATTTGTGAAGATACGTTTTTCTTGCTGCAAAGTAAAAATACTGATCTTTAGAAATTAATGAAGATGCATTTCTTGTTGTATATAATCTTTTTGGCAATGACTTTTTTTAATATTGTCTTTTTGATTTTGGAATTTCTGTTCATTCTAGAGTGTTGACATTACCTTTTGTATAAAGCTCTCGAATCTTCCTTGTAAGCCAAACCATCTAAACTGTACAGTCACTAGTTTATATGCACAAATGACAGGTGACATTCCCTTACCTTTTGTATAAAGCTCTCTACTCTTCCTTGTAGGCCAAACCATACAAACTGTACAGTCACTAGTTTATATGCACACATGACAGGTGACACAGTTTTAATCCAATCTTTAGTCAGTGGACCACGACCAGTTTTTTCTGATTTATATATGGCAGGATCTTCTTCTTTTTTATAATCCTTAAAAATAAAATTTGTTTCTTTATTATGATTTAGCAAAGTATCATATAACATATAGGATTTATTTGAACTGATGACCACGTCGGCTGAACATACATTCAACAATAAAATATAACACTGACAGTAAAAATAGTAATTAGTTAAGAAAATAAAACAACATACTTCAAAATATCCTGATCATTAAATGTTATTAAACTTTCATTTTTGTTTCTTATTCAAGAATGACCAAGGATAAAGTAACATGTAAAATCAAATCAACAATAACCATCCTTTTATTCCTGAATTGAGGTAAACCAAAATTACAAATTTCAATTCAATTCACTTTATTTCATATGTTTCAGGTACAGTATTTTACACTGACATGAAAAGACACCCCGAGGGGTGTATAAGTTCCATGTGAATTTGAAATGGAACTAAAAAGTTCATATTTTTGTGCAAATTTTAGATTTATTTACATAGCATGTGTTTTACAAATAGAGGTCAATAAAACTGCTTGATAATAGCTAAATAATGCAAAGGAAGTAGAATAGGTTTTTCAAACAAGTCCATATTAGGTGGGGTGGGGGGAATTTTCAACAAGGCATTAACATGACAAAATGTCACCACCTAGTTGCTCACAAAAATGTGAGTTCAATCCTAAGTAAGATTTGAATTTCTGAGAACTTGTAGATGATTTTTGAAAAAATAAATTGAGAAGGCCATCAAAGGTCAAATCTCAAGTCAGATTTGAACTTCTGATAACTTGTAGATAATTTTGAAAAAAAAAATTTGGTCAATTTGAAGCAAGTTGAAAAAAGACCCTTTTGACCTATTTTTGACCTTGAAAAGGTCATTGAAGTTCAAATCTTACATATAAAGTCAGATTTGAACTTCTAAAAACTTGTAGATTTTGAAAAAAAATTGACGTTAGTCTAAACAGTATCGGTTAAGTTATCGGAAGTTGTAAGAATTTGTTACAGATGCTGATTGCCAACGAATGGACGGCTTTCCTATATCTCCCTCGAACTTCGTTCGGTGGGATGATGAGCAACAAGTATGGTTTATATTGTTCCATATGAGGTTTGAGGGTAATTCAGATCTAAAATACTATTTAATAATGCTAAAAATGTTAGTACAAATACTCATATGTGGACACGGGGAGTGAAATGCTCATTGATTTAAAAAAACAAGAATAGTTGAAATACAAACATATCATCATTGTTTAAAAAATCAAGAATAGTGAAATTATACACATATCTAAATACAATCATCTAAATTAGATAAAATATAAGTGAAATGAGTAAATAAGGGAAAGAATAGGAATATTATTACAGTAAAACCTGTACATCCGAACACCTCTCTTTTACGAACACCTTTCAATGTGAACACTTTTTGCTGTCCCATTTTAATCCGTCACAGACTGCCATCTTTAAAACCTAAATGTCTTCACACCAGCCCATCAAAACACTTCTGACTTGTCCCAGTAGCGTTCACATAAGACAGGTTTTATTGTATTGTCATTAGTTTACGGTCATTTGTATCAGAAACATAAATAATTTCAGGTCCATGTTTATTTTAAAAATTCACTTTGACTGTTTAGGGTACATAGAAAGGTTCTGCAAAAAATGTTACTCCACCCTCTATATTCAATTACAATATGCATGTGAGTTAATTATGATCATACCATACCTTAGAATATTCTAAATTGCTAGCTATATCTATTACGTGTACTTCTCTTTTCGCCAAATCTCCATTTGAAAGACCATGGGCCTACAAGTAACCATACCAACAATGAGACACCACCCAGTTCACCTCAAGTTTGAAGAGTACCATGCAACCCCATCTATTGTTACCAAGTGCACACCATCATACAACATTAAGCTAGGAAAAGGAAGGAAGCAAGTCTGACACACTGCCCCAAGAAATGAAATCTTGCATTAAGACCCTATACCCCCTAAATAAAGTCAGGGTCATTAAAGAAAGGGTCATATGCAAGACTACTCATAATGACCTGATGCTTTAATCATTCATAATTACTCAAATGGCCAATATTTTCTTGGAGATGAGTTCAAGACAAAGGCATGCTTTAAAAAATCAAGTGTGCAATAATGTACAACAAAAAATGTAATTTTTTCAAGGAACCCTTGAAAAAAAATCACCAATGACTTCAAAAGTTGTCATTTGACATAAAATGACAAATTCTGAAATGAATTATAAAACGATTTTTTCATCAATGTTAAATATAAAGCCCTTTCACAAATATGTAAAAATCCAACTTGATAATTACATTTTCTTGTACAAAACTCCACACAAAAGAAGCTAGTAAAACATGCAGGCAATTATCCAAATTGATCGCAAGGCAACAGCAACTGTCAATCACAACATTTTAATCAACAAAACAAATTTATCAAAAAGAAAGATGCATAGTGACAAATATCGTACTTGAAGTTCAAAATTGCCATATTGAAAATTATCCAACATGCCCAAAACCAATTTAGATTGTAGCATGAGTCTGTAATAATTTCAAGTTGAACGGACCTTGATCCAACACCCTGCCTCAGCACGAGACAACAATATGGCAATCTTCAAGTACGATCAAAATCTTCTTTGGCGAGAAACATCAACTATTTTTTTTTCACTGTTCCTTGCAATCAAAACTGGGAAAAAGCTTTTTTATATCCACAGCTCACAAAGTTACCAAGATGAGCTGTGAACAAGGAAACGATAGCAGCAAGCAAAGGCATTAAAAGTAAATAAGATTCATAAATCTTGTAAATTTGATCCGTTTAGTATTACAATATACAAGATTCATGAATAGCTTAACCCGAAATACCCAGTGTTAGTTCAAGTGGTCACTAAAAGGTGTCAGTGGTGGCTAATGTCTAAATATTGTGTTTTTCCCATTACCTTTGAATCTATATGATCGTTAGCGATATCAATTAATTTCACTTCTCTCTTCTTCAGGATATCGGGAGGCAGTCCATGCGCCTAGAAATATTTAGCAACACTTTGCCATATAAGGACATACAGGCCAAACATGGGAATACAACAAGCGGGAAACTTGTTTATATAGTTATGCAGCGACTTATGATTTGCTCACTAAAGAAATCTATCAAATGCCCATTGGATTTGATCATTGCAAGCTATCTATTCAGTATAAATACAAAATTTATCTATTTTAGGGTCCCTATAGTCTCCTGTCCCATAAGGCAGTTTAGCGATAATAAATGTCCTTAGCAGGGCAGCCTAGACCAGAGAGCTTAATGCTCTTGTTTGATGCTCTTGATATACTTTCAAGTGAGATATAATTCGGATCAAGGAGACAATTCCAAATGCAGTTTCTAATGTGGATATATAAAAATCTGACATGTGCACATGACACCAAATGTGTGTACCAATGACGTGCATATGACACTTATGATGTGCAAATGACACCAATTGTGTGCAAATGACACAAAAATTGTACAAATGACATCAAATAGGTGTAAAGGACGTGAAAGAGCCTCTGTATTTCAACAATACCACTAGTCTGAATTAAGCATGCTTAATGTAAAAATAAAACAGTAGTATATGTACATGTATGTACAGAGTACACAGTGCACACATTAATAAACATATGCCAAATATGCAATCGTAAATACATGCTGAAATCATTAGTATATAAAACAAATCATCACTCTAAAAGTATATTTTCCATTTTGTTAAAATGATGAATCACAAAACTTGATCATATTAGCAACCAGGGAACATAACACCAAAGAGGTGAAAATGACACCATATGTATGAATGTGACATCAAAGAGGTCAGCATGACATCAACTAGGTGAAAATGACTTCATCTAGGATTTACATGTGACATCCCAAATATCTATATATAGCCCATTAGATATTTTCAAAAACCATATATCTAGCCATATTTGATGGATTTAGAGTGACGATACTCATGCAGTTAAAATGTCAGGCAGCTTTTAACTGTGCATGACCTACATCCCTGTTATAACATCAACTATTTCAATGTTCATTAATGTGAAATATTTACAATTAAAGTCAGTATACCAATTAATGTTACTACAGCGAATCTTTTAATTTACATAGATAATGTATACTTAGATAATTTTTCTTTTAAAAGATAATGGAAAATAATTTTTCTTTTAAAAGAGCACATGCATTTCATTCTATATTATGTACATGTATATGTACTGGTATCATTCTCATGTACTTACATTTTCAGTTTCTCCCCTATCTGGTAAATGTATTGTTTCTATTTTTATCTCAAAGCCACCTTTCATATAATCTGGGTTCTGTAACATCAATATGCAACATATAAATATATGCAAATATATAAATACATGCAACATATAAATATGTCACAATGATGTAAAATCTCAGTTTTGGCAATATTGGCCCAAATTGGGACGCTCTAAATTTGGGAAAGAAGAAAGGCATATTTCACGTCATAGTGATACATCTGATATATTGCATACCTGTATTTCCATGGCAACTTTATTTCAATGACATCACACATCTGTGTTCGAGTGAAATTTGGAAGAAATTGAACACAATGTCATAACATTGTCATGGTGATAAAAGAAAGCAGGCTATATCAGGGTACGAGGTCTTTATGGGCAACAGCCCACCTAGTTTTTCAAAGACTTCCATACAAATGCTTAACAAGGTAACACATGCAAATATATAAATAAAAGTTATTCTGGTAAATCTTTGTTTTATCTGTATAAGGAGTTTAAACCCCAAATATTCTATTGGTTAATAGCTGAGTGTGGTAATCAAATGTGTTACTTACACTTATTATTGTTCTGCAATAAGGATAAGCATTCCAGGCTTTTTCTACTATATCTAGTGATCCTTTTGGTGCCAAGAGGGAAATCCATTTTGGTACTTTACTACAAATACAACACTTTATTTATATACAATAAAGTACACACCCAAAAGTAGGTTAACAGTTACAGTTTTCAGATTGTTGAATAACTGTATACCTACTTTTGGGGAAAATAATACATTCAGATTGGCTTGTATCGAAAATTCGAGCATGATTGTATTCACGCATTCTATAAACAAAGTCAATATTTCACCCGGTATTTATTCGGCGATACAATACCTTGAAATGAAGTGACAATTTTGCAAATTTTTGGTGAGTTTTTATGTTCGAATTGTAATATAGACCTCAGATCAGGTATTATAACAAGTAATATATACCTTCGGTCATTCTGGGTACAGAAAACATTTGTGCGGTATTTATTCATAGACTCTTTGGTCTATATTTCTTAAATAAAAATTTCTGATTAGCTAGTTGTGGGAAATAATATATTCCGATTAGTTGTGTGTGAAATAATGTATTCTGATAGGCTTGTTATAGAAGATATAGCTTTCTGATTGGCTGTTTGGGAAAATAAAGCATTATGTAAAAGAGGTAAAATAGAAGCAAAACTAACTGACTAACCTTTGTAGATGGTAAATTTTATGTGTGAATTGCCCCGAAGTGTAAGTTTTTGATTCATCATATGGACCTAGAGGTCCAGTGTCTTTTGGATCTGGATCGCCTGGCAAAAAAATAAACAACAAAATTTTACAGAATACATAAAATTCTATATTTATAAGATGCTTTTCATTGAATATTCATTACTTTTATTTTTTCCATTTGTGGAAATGCATGATTTTAGGTGACAATGACTCAGATTAAGAAAATTTGTGAAGAAAACGTTTTGACATCCAATAAGAGACTTTCATGAGACAGAATGACAAACAGCTATCAGGAATTGTATTCTGAGCCAACAAATCTCACTGAGGAAACATGGTAAATCATAAACCAAGTCTGTGCTTACCTGTAAATGGGTTATTTTCTTTAACTTCTATTCCCTCTCCACCTCCAGTCTCGTTTTTGCTGGCTTCTGCTACTGAGTATAACTGAGCAACTTGGTACTGAAATAACAAGGACAAAAAAGCTGTAATGAAATAATTGAATTTTAAAATTTTTATATCAGTTTTTTTACTGTGTGCTGAAATTATGTATATTTACACCTAATTTATAGTGAACAATTTTCACTTGTGAAATGGCATTTTTATTCTTTTTCAAATATAATTTCCGCAAGATTAATCTATAAGGGCTTCATCAGATTCACAAATTAAGTTCTCCTTGAATAAATATATATTTTTTCAAATGAGGTTAGTTCAAGGTAAACCATACAAAAACGTGATTCTTTACACAGTGCAGGATTTATTTTTCACCTAAAAAGTTGTTTTTTTAAATTAATTGCGGCTGTTAGTTTGTTTATATAGAAGGTTACAAGTAAAAGCACATGTTCACCCTGCGACTTTAAACTTTTGCTGTCATCAATTTTCAACGGACCAAGGACTTTTCTTGATGTTTAACCCTATGGTGACATCAAATTTGAATGAAATGCACTTTTAAAGCTATTCCCTTTCTAAAATATGTCACACGAGACCTATTTTATTGAAATATGTCTTTTTCTGACAGAATGGGACCATGAAACTTGTAGGACCATAATCTCTGTCAGGCCTTTTGTATAAATATCTATAAGATTTAGTAAAGTGACGGTATTTGGTAAGAGGACCATTTTCCTTATCGACATTTAAAGTTCTATTTATATCTCTTGAAATAAGCGATACCTGATTGATCAATGTGGTATAAGAGGATCTAAATCTCTTGGGGACTTAAATTCAAGTCAAACCTGATTTTAAAATAAAACAGTTTTTAAAGAGAACAATTTTGTGCTGTAATCTCTTTGTGTAAACTCATCAAACCTGATTTTAAAATAAAACAGTTTTTAAAGAGAACAATTTTGTGCTGTAATTTCTTGGGTAAACTCATCAAACCTGATTTTAAAATAAAACAGTTTTTAAAGAGAACAATTTTGTGCTGTAATCTCTTTGGGTAAACCCATCAAACCTGATTTTAAAATAAAACAGTTTTTAAAGAGAACAATTTTGTGCTGTAATCTCTTGGGTAAACTCATCAAACCTGATTTTAAAATAAAACAGTTTTTAACCTTTAGCATGCTACTGGCGAGCGTAGTCGCCCGTGCTTAACAATCCCCGGCAACTGCCGGCGACTCCAGTCGAATTTAAACTTTCAAAAATTTAACTTTTTCCCGCCGGTCTTATGATCCAATCAGATTGCCCGATTTATTTAGTCCTTACGTGGGGACTTCCTGTTGACCTAGAAATGGCGATGTTTCGAAAAATATTTCTCAATTCAACGATTTAAACAGTGTTTAAGTCGTTTTTAGTGAACAAATTGTACAAAATGGCGGCCAAATACGATCACAACGAACATGTGGAGGAAATGGATTGCGATTTCGAGCTCTTTAGGTTCTTGGAAGCCGATAATGGTCATCGAAAATAGAAACTAGAATATATTCTGAACTGAAAAATGAACATTCGATCGCTGCAAATTCAGTTTTGGATTCTGACCAGACGTTGAATCTCCACAGGGGCGAAGCGGCGGATTCCAGAGGAGTATTCATGGTATATTTATGCCCAGTCCTGTTTATTTATGTAAAAAATTCATGAGAACATTTTTTTCATGAGCCAGGCCAATGTATCTTCTCTTTGTGAAAATTTTATCCAGATTCATTCAGTAGTTATTGAGATATTAATTATTTAGTCCAGGCATATCATTTTTTGCACTCTTTGAAAAATAAGTCAGTCGCGTGGGATATATTTGCTGAATTAAGTTAGCATGCAGAAGGTTAAAGAGAACAATTTTGTGCTGTAATTTCTTGGGTAAACTCATCAAACCTGATTTTAAAATAAAACAGTTTTTAAAGAGAACAATTTTGTGCTGTAATTTCTTGGGTAAACTCATCAAACCTGATTTTAAAATAAAACAGTTTTTAAAGAGAACAATTTTGTGCTGTAATTTCTTGGGTAAACCCATCAAACCTGATTTTAAAATAAAACAGTTTTTAAAGAGAACAATTTTGTGCTGTAATCTCTTGGGTTAACTCATCAAACCTGATTTTAAAATAAATTTTTTTTAAAAAGAACAATTTTTAGCGCTATAATGTGTAGTAACTCAAATGACTAAACACAAGACCTCCTGAACATTAAACTTTATTGTGGACCAAGCATACCTACCTCATCAACGCTCATAGGCATGACAATCCTGTATTCTTTCGCCTTCCTACCCTTAATAGACCTCTCCGCCACCATGTTATTAGCATTAGCATCCTCCATATTGACTTCAGATCTATTGTTGTTCAAATTTGTCTCTATAATTTCTTTATTTCTAAATCTCCTATCGTTCTTATTTGTCTTTATAGTTTCTATCGTCGTTCTAATTTATTTCTATAATTTCTTGTATGCAATTCTAGCATAAGCTGGATAAGTTAGAGCTTTTTTTAACTTCTATAGACTTTTTGTGTGATTGTCTCTTGAATTAGTGATTATTCCCTTTGTATTTACCAATACAAATGTATCTTTTATTGTAACATTTTTAACATACTCAATTTTTATAATTTTCATAACAACAAGAAATCTTGTTTAACACCCAATTAACATTCATTCCTTAATTCTAAAACTAAACAATTCGATTTTTGAGCTTGAAACCCAAGGTTCATTTGAGAATGAATTTCTGATATCTTAGAAAGTGAATTCTTGAAATTCAAGTGAAATAATCCCAAATTCAATTCGTCTCGTTTTCTGTTTTCACTCTCTCAGATAGATTGAACAGAATGAATATATGTTTAGTATTTATCTGTAGTCGATAAAATAAAATGAGAAACAATGTATACGAGCATTTATGACTGAGATATCAAGGGGTCTTAATTAGAAATAAGAAGACCCCTGCAATGGTCTCACAGAGAAGCAATCTACCTCATTGTTATATTAGTGAGAATCTAATTAAATCTTATCAAATTAGCCATGGTTATGAAACACCTAATGAGATCATGATCATTTGAAAAAGAGTCATGCTAAGCTGAGAAGTAAGGTTCAATAAACTTTCTGTTTTTTAGAGAATTTTTCAGATCTGTTACAAAACAAAAAGTTTTTTAACTTCTGTGATAACGGAAAGCTAAAATTAAACTGATAAATTTAAGAATAGCTGCAAAATGTTACCATGTTATTTCAGTTTCTATATGACACAAAACAAACATCATATTTTTATATGGAGTTGCTGGTACCATTTTAAATTGAAATTTTTTTTAGATTTTTTAAACTTAGAAACAAGTTAATGATGCAACAATATTTATTGCCTTTAATACACCACATATTAACCAATAGTGTAATGACCTTCTGATACGTTTTGAGACATAGTTATGGCCTACTTGACACCATTAGGCGTTTTATTGAAGTGATATGTAATATTTATGAGTGCGAAACAGAGAGATACAAGATATTAACATGCAAGAAGTCACCACTTGCCATTTGTTACAGATGCTAAATGCTGACAGCAGCAGAACACCAATCACCAAACACTGTCCATAAAACAGTTGGAGACTATAACAATGTGTCCACTTCTGGTGGTGACATGACAAAGAGCAATACAAAACACAGAGGAAAATGATGCATTTAAAAGACAACCTATCATAAGGGAAACAGCCCCCAATATCCCCAAACTATGATAAAGCAAACTTAGTTAAATACTGTGAAAAGTTGTAGAATGTACTACCTTGTAAAATATAGCTATGTAAACTATTAGATCAAATGAAGAAACAGCACATTTATCCAGACTTAAAATATAAAGAAATTAAATTCCCAAAAAATGTTTCACAGTATATATATTGAGCAACCATATTTTTTAAATTATAACTACGAATTATCAAAAGATATAATTATATCAATGCCAAAACTGCCATCATATGCTCAGTCTAGTTTCAAATTCTTTCCTACCCTCTTTGATACTTAAACATAAAGCTCTAAGAAATCCAATACTTTTAAATTCTTCAAATCCGCAAATCAGCTCATATACTCCTTATCCCCTTCTAACTTATATTATCAACTTCTATTTATTCTACAATTTCTCTTTTTAGGTTCCCGTTCCTATCTTTTGAAGAGTTGTCAATTGTAAACTTGAATCTTTAAAACCGTGTGTTTAGATCCAGTTTTCTTGTTTGTTATGCATGTTGTTATACTAGACATTTAACTGGCCTTTTTCACCTTTTCTTTCACTTTTTATTTACCTGCACATACCTCATGATTTATGGAACTGTAAAAAGGTAGATACAGTGAAATTTGTTTAAGTAGTACACCTTTGGCATCTCTAAACAATAGTTTTCTACTTTCACTAGGGGAGGGCATTTGTACTGAAAGGAGCGTTTTCAGTAAATATTTTTTAAAGTACAAAATTCATTATATTTATATCCTGAAAAATATGTTGGAGGTGTTCTACATACAGAGGTCCATTTTGCATTAAGATGATTGATAATCTGGTCTTTGAGGTGTTTCAATTCTTTTTCAGTATAGCAGAATCAAAAAAATATCTCAAATAGTATGCATGCAGTAAGAATGTGTTCACTCAAAGGTTTTTACACAAATTAGGTGGGGGAGGGGGGTAGTTACAGACAATTACAGACCTCCCATGTAGCTTATATTCTTTAGTTATTTGAACCAAACTAACTGGAAAAAAACACTTCAGAAATGAAAAATAATATTTTTTACATTTGTGATATTTTTCATTCTTTTACATCGTGTCTGTACATGCTCAACATACATTTACTCATCAACAAATATGTGACCTTGTAAACATACATGAATATACAGTATACCTGTTATAAATAATTCGACCCAGTTCCTACATTAAGAGCTAATATGTCATTTTTCAAATATGCTGATGAAAGCAAAAATAAAAAAAGATCAGGTTCTAACTTATCATGCTGTAATTTACAGAACATCCGGAAGGTACATTAAAGATAGAAATCTAATACTAATTTCATTGTCAAGTATTCTAGAAAAAAGAC